CATAACAACAACCCTGGACCGGAAAATTTTCAACCTGGTTGGGCATCTTAATGATATGCTTAAATCACGACAATAATTAGTCGCATGACGAAGAGTGGCCCCAAGTAGTATGATACTTACTCACTGTTGCAACGTTGAGCGTCAAACCGCCGATTTTGCGCTGTGTCCAAAGAAAGCTTCCAAGTTTCCTGACATAGGCATTTTTTGTTCATCCGGTAGAAAGAATTGATGATAGGAAACCTAAGATGATGCAAATCCGTATGCTCGGTGATATTTCATTAAAATTAGCGCATAGAACCTCGAAGGATCGTTGTCTTCGGACTTCAGTACAACCCCATCTCCATCTTTCCCTAAAGTTAAACGCTAGAATCCAGTGTCTGTCGTTTCAACGGTGTGGGTTCAGATTCGTACGAAGGCTTAATGTTCACCCTGAACTTGGAATCTGGAATATTCATCAGTACCACCGACCGTCAGTTCACCGCAATACCGCAGGCCTACCTTCGAATAGAACGCTACAGAGATATATCTAAGCACAACATATTCCATTAGCATGGCATTCATCATCATCATCATTCGAATGGCGAATGATGGAAAGAAGAAGTCATTCAGGGTAAAACTCCACTTACACACGACATACATATATTACAACCATGATCCTAATCCTGATCACAACTCCTGTACAGGAAGACTGAAAATTTCTAGGCTCCTTGTGAGAAATTGGATCAGTCGAAACAGCAGGCTGAGATCAGAGTTTTGGCTACAGCGCTCACCTATAGCGAAGACAACAAGGGATGGACAGAAAGCGGCGATAGAAAAAAAGATCACATTCGTGATTCGACGATACAGCGGCCACCGTTTTCGGAAAGTGGATTCATCTTGTCATACTAAGTTCCATTCGTTATTTCGAAATTGAAACGCCGACAGATCAAGACCGATAGCGAGGAGACGTGGTTACAACGGTGTTTGCCTTCGGTAATGAACATGGCGAGCACAAAAAAACGAAGACCGTACGTTACGGTGCAGGCTCCAATCGAGGAGCGTTTGCGACTTGATGATAGATGTAAACCATGCATTGCTCAGATTCGGCTTGCGCTCTGCGAATGGAAGTATAAGCATATGTACGGCTGAGTTGAACAATTATCATACATTCTCGAACAGATCTTTCTCCCCTTCATAGACTACTTTATGTTCGGCGACCATGTGAATGGATTGGAACAAGATGCAGATGAACGGGTGCGTATTGATGTAAAGAAGCCTTCTGTTGTTCTTCTATGCACTCGCAGAGAAGACGCGATTTGGGACTGGACAAACGAAAGGATCTAAACATCGTACCAGCAAGAATAGGATTCAGTGAGTAGCAAGCGGCGCAACAGGTGACTTGGCTTTCACCTCAAGAGGCATCTTCGCTTGAACCGTGGGTCTCCCCTCGATGTATGCGCTATAATACCGCTCGAAAATTCAAATACGATAAATTGCGAAAGTTGAAGGATCGCTATCGAATCGGTTTCGTGGCGAATGGTCTGGGAATGCTTTGAAGGTCTCAAGAGCATGAGAAGTTAGAACAGAGTGAGTGACGCTAGTATGGTGGGTTTTTGCAAACAGATTTCCATGTTTATAATACGGTATATCTTTACGCATGTGAGGATCTGAGCACGTTACGACGTTCTGTATGAGAATGGAATCCTGATTGTAGAAGCTGTAACAGTATATCATTGACGATGCCATTTTGTCCGAGAAGGAGAATATTAAGAGTCCCCAGATTTCTTGCAGTTATGACTTCAGATTTTCGACCAATACCATGGTCAAGTAGAATGAAATGATCCTGCATCGCTGTGCACAGAGAGTAGACGGTGTACAAGTACGAGTGCAGTAAGTAGTACTACTAGTAGTACGAAGGAGGGAATATGATCATGGTGAGAACTGTTCGTCGTTTTAGTGCGGCCTATCACTGTTGACTTTAAGTTACCATATATGTCCCTGGTAGTATATCGGCTAGTACACGCGCCTGTCACGCGCGAAAGCGGGGTTCGACTCCCCGCCAGGGAGTGCTTTTTGTATCTCCTCACTGACCCTTTACCCACACGTTCGACGTTCAACCATCTTCAACTCTGATATTGTCGACCTTAACTTCACTTAAATCAACTACGTCTTGGATCACCTTTGTTTGCGTCTTTCATATGGTACTAGTTCTATTCCGTAGTTTCGCTGAGTACTTAGAGTCTGATAGCGTTTGTGCTTCCAGCTTAGGTGAAGAATATGTCTATGCGAATTGAAAGTTTTGCATGAACGTACTAACTGGGTTTTTTTTTCATTTGTGTACCAGACTTGCAGATACTAGGCGAATCCCTTACCTGAACCCATATATTTCAGTGAAAATTGAACAGCTCACACTGCAATTCGAATGTCATGATATCTCGAACAATCAAGTTTTGAGAGAAGGATGAGCATTTCAAACATGATGAAAGGTATGTCGTAGTGATTTTCTCAGTGCATCTTTCATTTTCTAACTTCCTTATTGTGCTCATTTTCTGGATGGTGCGAGTAAGAAATAAATGATAAACATGCTTTCTATTGGGAGTATGCTTCGGTAAATGGTAGACCTCGCTCTTCTCAATCATTTGGTCGAGGCATCCGGGGAATGGATACCCAAGAATGTGTCGTCCAGATTCCTTGGAGTTAGTAAACACGTTGCGTGACGAATGCGCATGCGTCTAACACCCGAGCAAACTCCCTTAGGATAGGTTCTTTCCATTTTTCTCTCAGTCTTCTCTTTCATGATCTTCCCTTCAGATTTGTATGTCTGAGAAGATCCCTGCATGGCATGTTGGAAGTTGGAACACACCGCTGTCCACCGACTCTGATTTGCACTTGCTATGCCCAGATCTTCATTTGTGACCGTTGACTGTCATCTGCCACGCATCCCAAAAATCACACGGCGAACGAAAACTTCCCATTAGAAGTAAGTACGAACGATCCTTTTGGCTACGAGTTGCTGGTTTCTAAATCGTATAGTATTCCAGCGGAGTACAAGTTTATTTTACAACGGTCCTGCTGCTGTGCCATTTCCAATTCTACCTGACATATTACCGCCTCTCGACGTCGCTTTCAACCAAAACGCGTCATACTGAACTCAAGCTCTCTCTCACAAACGTATACGACATTCGCGAGCACCACTGGCATAAGGACGAATGTCGCTGTCAGTACCGATGTTCATTTGCAACCTGCTCACCTGCTCCCTTTGATCCGCCCCTCACTGTATGTTAGTCATCCTGGCAAGCACCATCTCGTTGTCATAAACTCTATAGGAATGTTAAAGTGGAAACATGTCCAAAATATCGCTACCGCGAAGTGTTTATACGGTGCTGCTTTGCTCTGACAAGGATAGACCAACAGAATCCAATTCAATCATGAGGCATTGCTATTGGCTCGAAGATGTGTAACTTAGAAGGTATTAACTGTCGGCCGACAAAGGTATGTGTGCCTGTTCATCAAGGATAGCCTTGAACTCAATACCATTCGCTTATAGCCTCAGGCGTGGCTTTCAGACTCAACCCGTGCACATTGAGTCGACGTGAAGCTTGTGATCCAGACTGCGCGCGACGTTAAGGCGGGGACGGGTTTAACACTCGACACATTCGGACCGCTTGTTTTGTTGAAGTGCACGATGATGCTAAACGCTCTCCTCTATGAAGTACCAGAGGCCAATGACGATTACCTCAGGTTTCAAGAGGTATAAAAGAGACCTGCATCTGAGGATTGAAAAATCAACGCCCCTCATCGAGACCCAGCGTACCCTAGAACTTGCCGCCGCCACACAACCAACTAAAGCTCATCTCAACATGTTCTTCACCAAGTTCGCCTACGCCAGTCTCGCTCTCTTGAGCGTTGCTACTTCTTCCATCGCTAGCCCAATCGCTGCTCCCAAGAACGATGTCATCACGAAGCGGGCAGACACCCTTGTGAACCATCTTCAGTCTTTCCAGTCTACAGCTGAACCACTCATCAGCTCATTCAGTGAGATCCATTTATTGTTGACTTTTTAACCCAATTTCTGACCTATTCTTTCAAATAGCTGGTTCTCCCGCTGATGTCACCGCTCTTGCCGCCGTCTTCGCTGACATCACTGCAAAGGTCAATGTTGATGTTTTCGTCGATGCTGATGTCGACGTCGTCGTCTCTCTTGCCGCCGATGTTGTCGTGGTACGCAATTTTCTGAAGATGACGCAAGTTTTGTCACTGATAATCCCATTTTATATCCTACAGAAATTGATTGCCAAGCTTTCACTCTTCCTTGACCTCAACGTTGACCTTTCGGTCCAAGTCGATGTCTTCATCAGTGCCTTTGTTACTGCTTTGGACAACAAGCATCCCGGCTGCGGTCACTCCATTGGCTTACTGTGAGTATTTCTTGTGCTAGAAGTATGATCTGGACAATTTCTTACCGCTTCGTCTTATTCAAGGATTCCCATTGTCGTCGACCTCAACGTTTTCATCTCCCTCAAGCTCCTCTTGAGTGCTAAGATCTTGGGCATAATCAGTCTTCTTGGTCTCTAAATTCCTTTTTGTTTGGACGTTGGAGTAATGACTGTGTAGCATCTAACGTTTGTGGGCTTCAGTGGCTATGGATCTATGCCGCTTCAGAATAATCGGCCTAGTTTTGTTGGATGGTGTTTGTGTAAAGTGTACATATACTGTTGTCGTAACATCGCTTTGAAAGGATTCTTGATTTTCTGAATACCGACTCTTGTGTTAATGAATGAATTACCACATTTAGCAGAGCTTCGGATCACACGGCAGTGATTATCCTCTCCTGCAAAGATCTCCTGCAACTCAACTGAATTCGAATCAACTTGATCTTTGACTTCAATGTTGTAGCAGGTTATAACATTGGCATCGACGCATCAGCCTCCTTCGCTAAATCTAGTCACAGCGGTGAAAAAACCTACCTCGCAATATCTTCATTGATGTATGATAAATCGATTAAAGTTAGAGTATTTCAAGACTTCTTAGCTCAGCGGTAGAGCGTGTGATTCCAGTTTACCATCCATGTGATCTGCTTCCACAAGGTCATCCGTTCAATCCGGGTAGAGGTCATTATTTTTATTCTGACCTGCAGTGCCCATTCCATGGGTAGATAGTACATGTTTTTTAATACACTTTTCAGAACCCCATGTGTTTAATATATGTCCTTTGGAGGTAGTCATAGGTAGTTTTGTGAGTCCATTTTTCTCGTTGACATCTATCTGTTCGGCTTTTCCCGACTCCTGGTTAGGACGCCTTTTCGCTGTTGCAATTTCTTTTCAATACCATGACACTCTGAGCTCGGACTGAAGTAAGCACTCTTTTCATCGCTATTCATTCCGATACTAATTTTCATACAGGTTTCTCAGAACCGAGAATATGCAAGTTAAAATACAAGGATGGACGTGTTAGAGACCGTAGCAAGCTACTAAGACGGCCTTCTCAAGCCTTCAATTGCCAGCATTTCGCTTCGCTCATGTAAGACCACTTTGATATTATTCTCGTAATCTACTGTTTCTGCATGCCACTGAGACATCATCATATTCATGTAGGCCAATTGTCTGCAAGAAATGACACATAGCTCTTATGAAAGTAGCACTAGCTCTCAAAGATCCGACATTGATCCATACAGAGCGTTTGTTGTTGCTCATAACTGCGCTCAGAGGTCAATGCATGAGCGTCGAGAAATCGCTCTGATTATGAATCTATATTCAGACTTGTACTTGCTGGATCCAACTTTTCCAGCTTGAACGCGTTAGCTCTTCCATTGCTCTTGACAAGAATTTCAAGTCGGACAATGGACATCTGCATCAGTCCTAGTGCAGGGTCGCAGCTTTCGAGTATTACAAGTTCGCTTGCGCCCAGTGGTCAACGGTCATACAGAATGACACAGTGCGCTATGGATGAGTCTCTGCGCGAGACGATTACAACGTTTCGTATTGGCGACAATCGTCCTGATAGGTCTGTGCTCTGTGATGTTTCTTGGCTCTTGTAAGTACATGATGCTTGCTTATGAAGCAATCCGTCAAGGTACTCATGACCACAGCCTGCCACATATGCTTTCTCCCACCCATTAGAAAAGATAGTATATAAAGAAGACTTGACCTGTGGAGCATTCCTCAATTTACTACAACAGTTACTCCCAATCTTGCAACATCCTCAATCATGGCTCTCAAGCTTTACGGAAACCCCTTCTCTACCTGCACTCGTCGAGTGATCACTGTTCTCAAGGAATACAATGTACCATACGAAATGGTTGTCATCGATTTCAGCAAGGGAGAGCACAAGGCTCCCGGATTCGTGGAACATCAGCCATTCGGTCAAGTTCCTTACATTGTTGATAACGATCTCGAAGTCTATGAGAGCAGAGCTATCTGTCGTTACATCGCAGAAAAGTACAGGGGCAAAGCCGTCTCTGGAAAAGATCTTGTGCCTCTTGCTAGCGATCTCAAGGCTTTTGCCAAGTTCGAACAGGCAGTCAGCATCGAGTCGTCCAACTTCGATCCTTTTGCAGGTGGCATTGCTCTTGAAAGGGTCTACAAACCGTAAGCTTTGATCGTAGGTTTGATCGTAGGGATCGATGGTACTGACAATTTCCCTTCAACTCAGTTTGAAAGGAATCAATACGAACGAACCACTCGTCGTTTCCTACATCGCTATTTTAGAGGGCAAACTTGACGCCTACGAGAAGATCTTCTCGAAGCAAAAATACCTCGCAGGAGATGTGCGTATATCGTTTCTTCAATTCAGTCAATTCCCAGCTGACTGACGATATCTATCTATAGGACATCACCATCGCCGACCTCTTCCATTTGCCTTATGGAACAATGCTTCCACAGCAAGGTGTTGATGCCCTTGAGAATGCACAGAAACGCCCCAATGTTGCTAGGTGAGCTTTATCTCTTCATCTGTAGCGACGTCGCGCTAAAATATCGACAAATTTGTTTGTAAAGATGGTGGAAGGAACTTATCTCTCGTCCCTCTTGGATTGCCGCTACGAGCAACTGAGAATGTAGAGAATAGTAGAAGTATGGCAGAAGAATCAAAGAAATACATGAACATAGATTACGAATGATTCGGGAGTAACAAAGAACCTAGATTCTATATGACGTTGGAATTCCTTCTGGAAGGGGAGTGCTTGTAGGTTTCCCTCAAGATGTATGTCGGTACGGAAGGGTGTCGGTGGAACCACAGTACCCTGCGTGGATCCGTTGGATGAGGATCGCCATGACTCGCTTTAACCCAGTCACTTCCATCAAATATCCATAAGGAAAAGACCTTGCTGACCCTCTCGAAATAAACGTAAATATCCAAAGCCTCCAAGAAGTTGGGTTCTGGGATAGGTGGCTTCTCCAAAGGGCCAGTTCCAGAGTAACGATAGTAGTAGGTGGTGCCTGCTCCTCTACTCCACTTGTTTTCTTGCCGATTCTTAAGTATAAGCTGGCCCTCGTCAACAAAATGCTTGGTACCAGGAAAGAAGTTCCCCAATCTCGATCTATCCCGAGCATATGTGTATCCTGAACAATTTGAAATGAGTATCAGTACACATGAATGCCGTGATAAAGAGTAAGCGAACATACTTTCTCCGTTCGGTGAGAGAGGAATTCCATTCATTATCACATCGTCGCGTGAGCTAGGTGTTTGTTGAGATTCTCGTCCATGGGAGGATGTAGAGGATATCGTCTCGCTATCAGGTGAATCGTTGTTTCGCGGCTTACGCGAGGTATCTGGCGTGCGGGGGACCAGTTGAGATGGGAAGTAATATTGTGAACCAGCTGGAAGATGTAGTAAGGAAGCTTCATCGAAATATTGAGCCTGTCGATCTGGGTGAGTCTGGATTAACATCCGAGTCGGAGACGACGTTTGAATAGTTATTGTATTCTGGATGAGACCCAGCTTCTCGGAATCTAGAGAAGCTGCAGGAGTTGGACGGGTGGCATGACTAGAGTATTCATCAGTCTTCAACACCAAAAAGAATAGCTATGGGACATGATGCATGATGGATGACGACTCACGCATTATGGACAGATTCCCCTTTTGGTTCCAAGTCAGCATTGCGATGATTGACGTTCTCTTTTTTCGGACCACCATAACGAAGGTCGAACCAACGATCCATACACTTGATAATGAATTGTCCAAATGGAACCAGCAAGCTTAGAGGAAATCGGTAATTGTGGGTGTCGTCAGACATGGTGGCCAAATGATAGAGGACGATGTGTTTCTGTGGACTTTTATGGATGTCGGTGTGAAAAGACATTGTGTGCCACTCCGAGAAAGAACTTTGTCAGGAGTCCACAATGTTATGTTTTGTCAAGATTCTTCGATAAGTGACTGTATTAGAATTAGTTCCGGTTTTCCTTCTCCCAAGATGAAAAGCTGCATTATGAGAGCTCAAACAACGATTGACATAAATGCATGGGACACTAAGACTTTACAATCTGCGTGGAACACACTGATGAAGGCTCAAGGATGTTGTGCCTCGGAATTGAGTGAATATCCTGTAATTCTGAATGGTAAATCGATGAAGACTTTTGAGACATGATTATTGAGGGCCGGGGGATAAGCGTACCTCACACCCGTTATCAGTGGTGAATCATTCCACCAAGCTTTCCGAATGTGTGGCAAAGTACCTTACAAAGGGCGTTGTACTGGTCCACTGTTTAAAGGTAAACGGACGTGTACTCAAGCTCCCCCTCGCAACCAATAGCGGTAGCTTAGCCCTACAGTCCTCTCCGATAGGCTGATCATGTCCACCATGAAAGATATACACATCGCGTAGTTTGACGAGACTAGGGTTGGACAAAATTCGGTCAATGTGTTTCCAATCGGCAATGCCAGAGAGGTCCTTGATTCTCCCGTCAAATAATAGACATATCGTCGATATCTGTGGTTCAGCTATGGTGAATAATTGAGCGAGTTGGTTTATGAGATTGTTGCATTCGGATTTTCGAATTTTGATGAGTTGGATATGTTGGAGCTGCCGCAAAGAGGCAAAGTCTATCTGTGCTAGATACAGGAGAAGTCGATTAGGATGATTGTATGGTCATCTGAATAATAGAAAGTAACTCGACTTACCTAGATGCCAATAGTGCGCCTCAATGGTTTGTAGTGACGATGCATGATGTAATAGATATTTGACAGCATCAGAAAATTGGTTAGATTGATCTGTATTGTTCTTTTGATCCCTCATGAAGAGCTGTAATCTTTTCACCGTAAAGACCGTATTGGTTAAACGTAAATATTCGAGTACTTCTGTTGGAAAGGAACTTTTTCCAACGGCCGATTGATTGATACTCAATCCGTCCAAAGCAATCGCTTTGAATCTGGGGCTTCGAATGGGATAGCTCATTGGATATTGCACCGGATAATGAACTTCGACGAAGTTGAGTCGTAGATCGCGTACATTCGGAAATACGGAAAGAAATCTTCGGAGCTCATTGATAGTGTTGAAAATGACGGAGGACAGACGAAGGGAAGTTATTTGAATGAAGCTGCGAGCCAGGAGGATGGGAAAGGCTTGATGTAGGATGAGTTCCCACCCAGATTCTGCGAGTCCTGCCATCTCTAAGGTGTGTACATTTGGAAACAATTTAGGAACCTTGCGGAGGATGCTATGGTATGAATTCTGAAGTGAAGGGATGACATTTCCAATTCCAACCTGTGACGAAGAACTTCGACCGGGTTTTTGTGAAGGTGAGTTTGTTGTGTGGTGACCGGAATGCGAGGCAACACCCCGTGATTCCGCATCGTGAAATGCGAGAGTCAAGAGAGTCGTACTGCATGTCAATCCAGGAGACAATAAACACGCTCTTTCGAATTGTAAGAACTGTTCAGCGTCTCTGAATATGACATGGTGGAACAAATGGTATCGACTCCTTGGAAGCCATGAGCGGCATGTCAGAGCACATGCTCTCAATGGCCGTAGATGGTGGCGATGAAAATCATAACGATGGACAGTTGTAAATTCCGGTGCAAGCAATGAAGAGGACAATTGATCAATGATACACTCCCAGATTTCAATAGGGAGCTGGATATCTTGACGGACAGTGCCTGAGCTCCCTTTTACAGGAATG